GTAGGTAAATCAACTATTTCTATGGCCATGTTCAATAGCTTTTTGTATGTTTACCAGAGGGTACCCAGAGATTATCCATAGATTACCCATAGATTGTCCATAGATTATCCCATAGATTAGCCATAGATTAGCCATAGATTACCCGTAGATTAGCCATAGATTAGCCATAGATTAGCCATAGATTATCCCATAGATTGGCCATAGATTAGCCATAGATTAGCCGTAGATTATCCCATAGATTAGCCATAGATTAGCCGTAGATTATCCCATGATAATCCCATAGATTAGCCATAGATTACCCCTAGAGTAGCCATAGATTAGCCATAGATTACCCGTGGATTAGCCATAGCTTACCCATAGATTAGCCAGAGATTACCCCTAGAGTAGCCATAGGTTACCCATAGATTAGCCATAGATTAGCCATAGATTATCCATAGATTATCCCATAGATTAGCCATAGATTACCCATAGATTAGCCAGAGATTACCCATAGATTAGCCATAGATTATCCATGGACTAGCCATAGATTACCCATAGATTAGCCATAGATTGGCGCATACATTAGCCATAGATTATCGCATAGATTAGCCATAGATTACCGATAGACTAGCCATAGATTATCCATAGATTATCCATAGATTAGCCAGAGATTAGCCATATATTACCCCTAGAGTAGCCAGAGATTAGCCATAGATTAGCCATAGATTACCCATAGATTAGCCATAGATTAGCCATAGATTACCCCTAGAGTAGCCATAGATTAGCCATAGATTACCCGTGGATTAGCCATAGCTTACCCATAGATTAGCCAGAGATTACCCCTAGAGTAGCCATAGATTAGCCATAGATTAGCCATAGATTATCCCATAGATTACCCATAGATTACCCCTAGAGTAGCCATAGGTTAGCCATAGATTAGCCATAGATTATCGCATAGATTAGCCATAGATTACCCATAGACTAGCCATAGATTATCCATAGATTATCCATAGATTAGCCAGAGATTAGCCATAGATTACCCCTAGAGTAGCCAGAGATTAGCCATAGATTAGCCATAGATTACCCATAGATTACCCATAGATTAGCCATAGATTATCCCATAGATTATCCGATAGATTAGCCATAGATTAGCCATAGATTATCCATAGATTATCCCATAGATTAGCCATAGATTAGCCATAGATTAGCCATAGATTATCCCATAGATTGGCCATAGATTAGCCATAGATTAGCCATAGATTATCCCATAGATTAGCCATAGATTAGCCATAGATTATCCCAAAGATCAGCCACAGATTAGCCACAGATTAGCCATCCATTAGCCATAGATTATCCATAGATTAGCCATAGATTAGCCATAGGTTATCCCATAGATTAGCCAGAGATTAGCCATAGATTATCCCATAGATCAGCCACAGATTAGCCACAGATTAGCCATAGATTAGCCATAGATTATCCATAGATTAGCCATAGATTAGCCATAGATTACCCATAGATTAGCCATAGATTATCCCATAGATTAGCCATAGATTACCCATAGATTATCCATGATAATCCCATAGATTAGCCATAGATTACCCATAGATTAGCCTTAAACTTCCCATAGATTAGCCATAGATTACCCATAGATTAGCCATAGATTAGCCATAGATTATCCCATAGATTAGCCATAGATTAGCCTTAAACTTCCCATAGATTAGCCATAGATTACCCATAGATTAGCCATAGATTAGCCATAGATTACCCATAGATTAGCCAGAAATTACCCATAGAGTAGCCATAGATTAGCCATAGATTGGCCATAGATTACCCGTAGATTACCCATAGATTAGCCATAGATTAGCGATTATCCCATAGATTAGCCATAGATTAGCCAGAGATTACCCATAGAGTAGCCATAGATTAGCCATAGATTAGCCATAGATTATCCATAGATTAGCCAGAGATTACCCATAGAGTAGCCATGGATTACCCATAGAGTAGCCATAGATTACCCATAGAGCAGCCATAGATTACCCATAGATTAGCCAGAAATTACAAATAGAGTAGCCATAGATTACCCATAGATTAGCCAGAGATTACCCATAGATTCGCCATAGATTAGCCATAGATTAGCCATAGATTACCCATAGATTAGCCATAGATTAGCCATAGATTAGCCATAGATTACCCTTAGATTAGCCATAGATTAGCCAGAAATTACCCATAGAGTAGCCATAGATTAGCCATAGATTAGCCATAGATTAGCCATAGATTAGCCATAGATTACCCATAGATTAGCCATAGATTACCCATAGAGTAGCCAAAGATTAGCCATAGATTAGCCAGAAATTACCCATAGGTTAGCCATAGATTAGCCATAGATTGGCCATAGATTACCCATAGAGTAGCCATAGATTAGCCATAGATTAGCCATAGATTAGCCAGAGATTACCCATAGAGTAGCCATAGATTAGCCATAGATTACCCATAGATTACCCCTAGAGTAGCCATAGGTTAGCCATAGATTAGCCATAGATTATCGCATAGATTAGCCATAGATTACCCATAGACTAGCCATAGATTATCCATAGATTATCCATAGATTAGCCAGAGATTAGCCATAGATTACCTGTAGATTAGCCATAGATTAGCCATAGAGTATCCCATAGATTAGTAGATTAGCCATAGATTAGCCATAGACTATCCATAGATTAGCCAGAGATTGGCCATAGATTACCCATAGATTAGCCATAGATTACCCATAGATTAGCCAGAAATTACCCATAGAGTAGCCATAGATTAGCCATAGATTAGCCATAGATTAGCCATAGAGTAGCCATAGATTATACCATAGGTTAGACAGAGATTAGCCATAGATTATCCCATAGATTAGCCATAGATTAGCCATAGAGTAGTCATAGATTACCCATACATTACCCAACCAACAATGGTATTCTTCGTGGCTCATGTCAGCATCCAGTGGGCCCCAGGGCCCCCCCACTTGGACACGTCCAGGGTGGCGGACATGACGATGACCTGCAGCGGACACGACCATGGTCCCATGGCGAACCCCCTAGGGATTTGACAGTGATTGACCCTCCAGTTTTTACATTCAAAAAGCGATGGAAAGTATGGAACATGGATGAAAATAGTGATTTTCCATGATTTTCCATAGCTATGTCAGCTATGTTAGTTTGCCAGAGGGTAATCAACAGAAACGGCGATGATTCATGGTGATTCTTCGGGATTTGACCAACACATATGGTGGGGATGTCAATGGACAATTCCCCACTCAAACCTCCACCTAACTCTGGGAATTTCCAGCCATCTTTGAGAAAACCCGGAGGGTAGACAAGTTGAAACCTGAAGATATGAAATTAACATGGCTAGGAGACACAACTGGGACTGATTGAGATAGGAAAGTAAAGGAAATAGGTACTCAAGTGATGATGTTAATATCATCAATAAAATCCTGTAAACGTGTTAGTGGTTTCTGTCTTCTGGGGATTTCTGGTGATTCCATACAGCTATTGTTACATAGATGGAATTTCAAACCAACCGGCAACTGTTGGAGTTATGGTGGATATGCTGGTATTGATCTACAGTTCATCAGTTTCCCAGGAATTGCCTATCCAATTGGTAGCATTGTCCATTTAAAAACAAACATAGATTTTATCCATGTGGGCAACCCTGGCTGCCTTCAAGTCGGTGGAATTCTTCAGCAACCTCAACGTGCTGGGTGGGTGCGGGTTGCGGGTGCTGAAAACTCATGGTATATTAATGAAATACATATAGACATATGAAATAAACATAAATAAACTATTATTTACAGTAAAAGACTGCATGTTGCATGTATTAATCTATAATCTATATAATCTAACATGTCCATTCCCCTTTGAATTCAGCGTCGAACCCGGACCCATGAATTCTGTAGAGGCCGCTTGCGGGTACAAACAAACTATCTGACTATCTCAGTATAGACGCCTTGAGGGAACATCAACAAGAATTAGACATCCTCAGCCACTATAGAATATCTATCATGTATAAAGAATGGGAAGAGGGGAACAGGTTGCAAATACATCCGTCTGTCCAAAGGATAAGGAGTCCGGGTCAGAGTTGTGCACTTTACCTGCTATAAAGTCTCTGAATAAAGCGCTGGGAAAAATGTCATGGTCTGTTCTGGGGAGAAACATGGTTTAACATACTTCCAAAACAGGGTTCTCCAAAGAATCAAATACATTGAACATCTGATAAACAAAACGAGAACCCATGCAAAGTCGATGGAGCAATTCTCATAATTCTCTAAAGAATGACACTGCTTTTGACAACCAGGGTTGTTTGATTCTCAGTCCTTTATAGTCTGTGAGGTAAAAATCCAAGGAACATGGTTTGCCTTATGACACAAATGACACATCATTAAATACTAAAGCATTGGCAACAGATTGGGGTAGACCTCTTCTGGACACCACATGGGAGTTCACTGGCAGCACATGTGCAGCTTGTGATAACCACCCTCTGGATCCCAGCCGCGACATCCGGCAGTGTACAGGTTTTAAGTTGCTCCATGGATAAGAAATCTACAATAAAAACAACAAAAATCATTGAACTTCCCAGGGTGTCCGAAACCATGAAACTCACACTTAAACGTCTGAAATTGGGCAACATTCATTGACATTCCCAACCAGATTCTGCCACAGATTTCATGCTACCCGGCTACCTGCCCGGACTCTTTTCTGGTTATCCTTGTTGTATCTCCCTGTCCAACTGTCTCCGATCGGAGCATCAAGGCACTCCAGCAACACGGTGAGTAATAAGTCAGTGTGGATGTCTCGCGTGTGTGCCTGCAACATGGAGGAGGCCGGGCTTATTGTATGGGTTGGAAGACTGAAAAAGCAGGGTAAAACGAAACCATCAACATCCTGATGTACAAGCAACCCTCAAAAAGATAGAACCGTAAAAAGTAAAATCGATTGAACATTCATAAACAAATGATAATTGACTGTTCCATCTTTTTTGGCTGACTGGCTAAAACCGCTTTGAGTAAAAGCCTCCATTTGCATTTCTGAGACTCCTGAGACTTGAGCCCTCAGTGATCGACAAATGCTGCAACCAAGGCTACTTGTGGCCTCAATTTCACAAGATCGCAGCGAACTCCTTTTTCATCATTCATCTCTTCAGCTGTTGCCAGTTGGAGTCCTTGTTGAGTTGTCCCATCAACAAAGCGCTGCAGATGCAACGCATGGTCCCGCATGGTCCAAATCCGAAGGCTGAGCTCCAAATGTTGATTGGTTGATTCATCAGGATGTTCATCCTTCAGTAACTTCCTCCGCGTGGTGCTTGAATCATCTTCAAGTCCATTTTTCAGATCTACAAAGTTTGCCCCCTCTTCGTCGCAGTAGAGCTGCCATGCCAGATTCGATTTACAGATTCGATCATCATTCCAAGACCCTTTTCGAACATCTCAGGGAAACTGCCCAATCGAAGGCAAGAATTCCAACCTCTCCGATTTTCCCTCAGCTTTCCCTCACATGTCGGTAGCTCGGAACATCCTCCTGGATGGTCATCCCGGTCATCCCGGTCATCCCCACACGGCCGCAAGGGTCTCCCTGCAGCCATCGCCACCACCGCCAGGATCGCCCCAGGAGACCAGGACACCATCGGAGCGAACCGCCGTGAAGGCTCGCGAGGAACCCTTCAGGCAGAGGATGTCCTGCGAAAGCCAGGAGGATTTTCGAGGGATCTCTGGATGGAATCAGTGAAGCTTAAGGATGGATATCATATGATATAATTATGTATATTATATATATATTACATTAATTACACATGTCTAATGTAAATGCTACTGTACATACTACATATATAACATATACATGATGTAATTATATCAAAACTCACAAGACTTCTTAAGTTAGATCAGTTGGATCATCTATTTCTGCCAGGCTGGTGATTCCAGATTTGTCTTTCCTTTGGACGGATAGTTTGGGCGCTGAGTTGCGCTTGTTGATGTGTTCACTGTGTTTGCTATCCTTCACTGTGGCAGTATAGAAAGCTCGAAATAGATAGAACAAACAAATCTGGCAATTACAAAGCAAATAGATGCAAATAGCATCTATTGTACGACATCCTGCGAAGTTACCTTTTTGGGGGGGGGCAAAGTGGAATTGATAAGCTGCAGTCGTCAGGACAAATCATGAGACGGGGCTCCAAAACTGGCAGCCTGACCGTGGCATGTGTCCCTTACAACGGCAGTGAATCCCCTGTCACTGTCACAGCAATTTTTCAGACTTTGCTATGGGATTTACCACCGACATATTGGTAAATCATGGTAAATCATTCAACTAAATGGGTAATCTATACCATCTTGAAGTGATAAACTACCACAGAGTCCCCACTAGGTGGTGTCCCAGGTTGGAATCACGAGGGTTTATGGTAGATGTATCGCTCATGAGGGGTACCCTCCATTTAACATACTGTAGCTACTGAAAATTGCCCATGTCATTGAATATTTAAAGACCTCTTAAATTTAAAATGGTGTAAAGCTACAAAATTGTCCTAGGACCTAGGATTTCCTAGGATACAAAAGTTCTGATTTTCCATAGATACATTATATATATACATACGTATCTACATATGTACATATACGTATATACATATGTGTATAGTATATATATACACATATGTATATATATATATATATCAAAGTAGTGGCTATTTTAACCAACAAACATCACTGGGGCCCTTCCACCAGTCCTGAAGTTCCTCTTGTACCTGTCAAGTTGTCAGGGTTTGAAGTCCGTGTAAAGCCACGAATGCGGATTTAACTGGATCATTAATCATTGGGCGTAATATTTGGACCTTATAACTTTTATTAGCTCAACAACTGATCAAATCTCAATAAATTCTATAAGGTCCGTAATGCCAACGATAAAATCACCCTAGCTGCGCAGCATCCACCGATTGATGTCGGAAATGCAATGAAGCCCCTGCTACATGTAGTCATCAAATGTAAGGCATGTTCATACTCGCACACTATGAATTAACGTGTTTATTCTTTGGAAACTCGAACTATTCAAATGTTACTTTGTCTAACACCAACCGACAGAAACCTATGATCCATCTAAAATAAATCCATTTCACATTTCAAGTGGTTAAATCCACCTCTTATTGCTACATTCCCAATCTTTCATGGCCGCCACTTGTTTCCAACTTAAATCACCAAGATTCACCATCTTTCGTGGTGAAATTTTAAAAATGTGGATGCTTATCAAATGAAATGACTATTGGAGGAGTAACCCCCTAATGAATAAACCATGGTTTATTAATCCGGGGTTGACATTAATCTTAACTGGTTGGTGGTTTGGAACATTTTGTTATTTTTCCATAATATATGGTGAAAATAATCCCAACTGACTTTCATTTTTTGGATGATTAAATCATCATGAACATCACTGGTTGGTGGTTTCAATCCCTCTGAAAAAAACATTAGTCAGTTGGGATGATTATTCCCAATATATGGAAAAATACAATTCATGTTCCAAATCACCAACCAGATCATGTTCAACAGTTAGACTCCACATTTTTCCGTGGTGAACTCCCCGTTTGGCTGGCCGGCCTTCTGGCAATTGCCCCCGTAGTACGGGTTGCCCCAGGCCAGCACCGAGCCATCCGAAGAAAGGACCGCGAAGGCGAAACCGTTGGGCTCCACATGCAGGATTGGGAGGTCAAGGAGACCTGGGATCGGCAGATGATGGACCCATATTAATATATCCCATTAATAATAATAATGCACTATTTTCCATATTAATAATACATTATTTTAACATAGATAATGGAATTATGGACTTATTTTATCTATGAAAATAATATATTATTAATATGGAAATATATTTATATAGTGAATCTCTGGGATATATGATGATAATATGATTAACTATGAAGTAATCAATGATATGGGATCTGAAGATGGTTTGGATTTTATATATACATATATATCCTATGGATGAATTTATCTAGTGAACATATAGTTGATTTTTATAATTAACATATCTACAGATGATTAGATTACCTGGGATCACATGATATATCTATATATATATATGATAGAGTAAACATATAGTTAATTATATTTAAATAGTTATTAGTAGTATAGTGTGAACAACATGTATATCATTCAAGTGAATTATTGGAAGAATTGTTACAATAATGTATAGTATATCTATTCATATGATATGGGATATACATTTAAAAAAAAACAAACATTTTTGTTAAATATAAATATATATATATAGACGGAATATAATGGAATATAATGGAATATATATATATATATTATATGGGATATATGTATGTATGTATGTATGATATATATAATTATATATATATTATATATATATTACACATATATATATATATGTGATATACACACATATATTAATATATACATAACTATAAATATATATATATATATATGCATGGAAATATAGAAACAAATATAGTGAATACATGGGATATTTGGTTTAGACTTAGACTATGAACCATCAAGAAATGGAGGAAACAAACAGAAATATGTCGATTCAACTATCCCATACTATCCCTATGGATCTGGGGTATGAGTTAGTGATTAAAATACCGTCTCAAAAAGGGCTTGAATCCATAGGGATTCCTCCTGCCACCACCCCCGAAGCCCTGGTTTAGTACTGGATCTTTTCTTTTGCGCCATATGGGGGTCTGTAATATGTTCAAAGCTCGGATTGGTGATTAAAGGCTATCTGACCATCATTCAGCATCATTCAGCAATTTTTGCAATGACCCCCTTACAGAATAATCCCATTCCCAATGATATTCGTGGGTTTGGGCATTTAGTATTGGGATTGGGATATTTATTTATGTAATGAAATTCCCCTCATTGTTTGTTTTAATGTTCATTATAGCCACAAAGTGGTGGTGAATGGGAAAACTTAATGGATATATATAATCATATATAAACCAACAAAATGGGAGACACTAAGGGAGAATACAAAGTGGGGCCCACAGTGGAATGGGTGTTGGTTTGGATCTCGCCCATTCTGTGGATCTCTATCCGCCGAGACAGTCTGATTTCAGTTTACCCAAATGTTGCCATCAAATTTAGCGATTCTGGGGTATGAAGTACTTTGTAAGAAAAAAACAGGGAGCCAATCTGAAGTTCGGGTCTTTGATGCTTTAGATAGGATGTTGGCTGTTGAATAAGAGAATGTGAGAGCGAGTAGCAACATTGATAGCCAAAAATATGATGGCACAAGCTTCGTTCTGATCTGGAGGGGAGACAAACTGACATGAAGGGGCTGGAAACAAACTCAAACCAACTTCATAGAGTTTAGCTCGTAGCCGATTGGGAATCTTGATCCTGATTCTTATGTCATATTGGTGACTCGGATACATATTACATTCACCACCATTATGAAACGACCATGGAACTAGAAAAATTGTAGTTTCAACTATCTAAGTTTCAACAGGATTGTCATCCCAGGGATCACCCCTGCGTCACAAGTCGCAGGGGGAGTCTCCACCATACATTGGATCGCCCCATGTGACAATGGTCCCATCACAGACAGCGCAAAAAGCACGGTCTGTGGCGTAAATCTCCTTGACACCTGCAAATTGACCAGCCAAGAGTCGCTGAAATGTGCCAATAGAATCCAATAGACCCATCGACTAAAGAACGGGTAGAACGGGTAGGGGTGTCAATGCAACCTTCCCATACATTGCGTATGTGGATTTTACTGTGCCAGTTTCACAGTTGTCGGTTCAGTAAAAGGAGCTGATTACTTGGGATTTCACTGGTTCGCCCCCGCCACGGCATTAAAGCTTTGGAATATGTTTATGTTTGGTGAAATTGACCAAACCATCCTTAGCTTATTCTCTAAGTGGGATTCACATCTCCTGATGAAACGAATCGAATGGTGTTTTGAGATCTGAAAGATCGCGATGTCTTTTATTTGTTGATCTGCATGGGTCAAAGCGACGTTCCTTTCTTTTGATGTTGATGCCGACTCAACCTACAAGGTGGAGAAAAACACGTGATGTTTAATTGTTGTTTTACAGCACCCATGACAACTATGTACTTCAATGTACTTCATTTTAAGCTTCAACCCAACAATTATTGGACTTATGTTTACCAACTTTCAGCTATCAACAAAATCCAGCTCTAAATGCCATGAAATCCCTTTTTTCCTGGTTCAATCCCAATTTTTTGGGGTTCAATCTTTAAATATCTTGGTTCAATCCCAATTTGTCTGGCTTAAATCGCATTTTTTCGTGGTTAAAGCTCCTTTTTATCTGGCTTAAATCCCAAGTAATTCTTCTTTGTTAATGTGTTCAATGTCCATTTTTCTGGCTGAAATCCCATTTTTTCGTGGTTAAATCAGGTGAACTCCTCATGAAATTCCCATGATTTTTCCAGCCTCGCAGTCGATCTCGCACTTTTTTGCTGTCGCCACCGTTCTCCGGGCTGCCCCAGCACACCACCGTCCCATCCGCCAGCAGTGCGGCGAATGCGCGGGAAGTCGCTGTCACCTGTTGGACATGCCTCAGTGGCGAACCGTTGATTTCAGCCAGAAAAAATTGGATTTCATGATAGAACGAAATCTAGGAGCTGAAATCTATTAAATCTATAATTGCATAGATAACTATATATAAATATTTTTAATCACTATTTTACTATCTCATATTATTTAATATAAACTAAAACCATATAGGTATACAATCAGGGTGACAAAGCAGAACATGGGCAAGAGTGGGAATGGACACTCTGGAGGAGATCCCGGGATTTTGTGGCCACGTTGTCGTGTTGTCAGTAGGGAGATTGCAGAAACCAATGGGGAAACCTGCTGTGATAATGCTATGATTATAGGCATGTTTGAGGGTTTCATTGGGTTTCCTTGGTATGTGGATTCATGGCTACAAGTTTTTAGGTTGAAGATTTTACATGTTTATCGTGTAGATGTGCTACTTTTTGAATATGGGGGTTGGGTGGGGTGGGGTGGGATATTAACGTTCATGTACCTTGCGTACATACGTGGATGCTACGCTGCTGCTACGTCACTGGTCGGGGTTGGGGGGGTGGGGTGGGATATTAACGTTCATGTACTGCGTACATACGTGGATGCTACTTGCTGCTACGTCAACTGGTCAGGGGTGGGGTGGGGTGGGATATTAACACCTTGCGTACATACGTGGATGCTACGCTGCTGCTACGTCACAAACTTGGTCGCAAAAGCATCTTGGTGACAGACGGTGCCCCATGCTACCCTAAACTGACCTCTGAACACAATCTGCTTCATGAAGCTTGCAATCATAGTAAGGGCATCTTCTGCATCACCAAGAAAAAGAAATGGGGAAACTTGCTAGTGCACACCGGTGGCATCGATGGAATGTGGAAAAATTTCCAAAGGTGCAGTATCATCCTCTTGGAGCACACGTAAAGATGGTGCTGTGAACCCTTAATTGCTTCAAGGAATAAGGATTTGGCAATGGCGATGGCACCATGGAAATTCCACTGACTTCCTCAGTCTCACAGGCCGCGCTCTGAGCAAACGCTTGGAGAAGTGACACGCCAGCGAAAAACAAGGAAAAGGCTTCCACCCCGCCACAACCACAAAACCCTGTAAATACCACGACATTCCTTCAAAGTCATTCAATTTTCCCCGGGAAAATTTAAGGTAATGTTCATCACAAAATGTGTACGGCGCCACAGCGCCAGAAGAGTTTCTTTTCAAAAAGTGCTTAACCGCTAGCGCGGTTTCCCACCCGCCAGGATGTTTAAGCTCCGTTGTCTGAGAAATACAACTACACCGGCCCTGCAAACGAAAGGGTCGTGGCTAATCCTTGATAGCCTGGATTTCTTTTGGCTGTAGTCCAATGTAGTCCAACTTACCATTCTCGTGTCAAACGACTTCACTGGACATCAATGGACTACATATTCGTCATTCTACCAAACAAAGGGTTGACCCAGTTCATAGATGTTCATAGATTTTCTAGCATCTATTGAATCTGTTTTATGTACATAATTATATATATATATTATATTAGTTTAAATATAAATATATATATATATATTTTTCCATCATTTCAAATCGTTTCAATATATTTAGAGTGATTTAGATCTTGCAGGAAGCCAATTCTATCCAATTCTGGGATGAGCCCGAGACACCTCAGCTGATGTTGGACAGCACTACTATCACCACCGTCCAAAGCATCGCCCCAGGTCACAACCTGAATGGCGGAGGCCTAGGGTTTTTTTGACCACCAAGAAATTGAGGAAACAAACAGAACACATGTTGATTTAAATTGATTTAACCATGAATTGATAAATGATACAGGATCAAACACAAGATATATTTAACTATCCCTATGGATCTAGCCGTACCTTTTCAGAAAAGTGCTTGGATCCACAGCGTATTGGGTTAATGAATGATATGGTGTGATGTGATGTAGTATGATATATGGCATATGGATGTATGTAGTATATGAGTTCGTCCCTTAAAATAGGTGAAAACTGGAAACAACAACATAAAATTGCATATCAAATAGGAACATGTTTGACACCAGTGGATTTTGGGGCACCCCAAACACATATCATCCGTTGTTGTGGTTAAGCCACCCCTCTCAAAAACGGTGAGTTGCATTAGTCAATTACTGCCTAAAACTGGAACGGCCTCTGGATATGCCTCTGCAAAGAAAGAAGTTATCCACTTCCATGTTTGGTTTCAATCGCGTAATTACGAGTCACTGTTCCGTCCAGCAAAATCGCTGCAAAAGCCCGGTCTGCAGCCACCACAGTGCGCACATTGGTCAGCTGGTACTGTACACTGCGACTGTCACCGCCGGAATTTTCACCGCCCCAAGTCACCACCGTTCCTATAGCAATGGCCGTCAAATGGGTGAGTTTTTTTCTGCAAAACACAAAACACCACGGGAGAAGAATATCCAAACTCTTCAAAAGTTACTCCGCAAAATCCATAGAAATCTGAATCTCGATTCAAACTAAAGACCGAATTGCACTTGAAAGAGAAACCAATGGGTGGAAAGTTTATTCATGAAGAGGTCATGGTCTGATTGCAACTGTAAGTTTTTGTCACTTGGAAGTAGGGTGACACATGATGTGTTTTGCTAGGGGTCCATGTTGCCATGCCACGTCAGATTGGGATATCGTAATTGTATCCAGCTTCTATCTGCCAGAATGGCAGCAAAGGCAAAGTGAGTTGCATGCACCTCCTCCACATGCTGAAGTAAATCTCGAACCGTGTTGCTGTCTCCACCACTGCTGCTGTGGCCCCAGGTGACAACACTTCCATCGCTGAGAACTGCACAGAAAGCAGCACCTGAACCTCGAATTTGCTTCACGTCCTGGCCGGGAAACTTGCACTTGTTGCTGGCTCAAACCATCTTTAACTAATATTTGGGTTCCCCCACCTCCGATGATTATTTGTGTTACTGTAAATCCTTCTTTTTGATGGTCAGCCATTGAACCTTGCTTTTGGTTGCTGAAATCCGATTTGTTGGTTCTAGAGTTGTCATATGTTGCTAGTCAAATCACACTTTTCTTTAGATTTTGCTGGCCAAAACCAAATTTTGATCCTAAATTTCACATGTTTCTTGAGTTTTTGCTGGTAAAATCACCATTTTCATCCCATAAACTCCCCCCCTTTGGTTCGTCTTTTTCTCCATCCTTCAACATCTCCGCCACCAATGTGCAGTCGCCGCCGGCCGCAGCCTGGCCCCAGGTCACCACGCGGCCATCTGCCAGCAGCGCAGCGAAGGCGGAGGAGGTGCTGACGACGTGCCGCACGTGAAGGAGATGCGGCTGGAGGTCTCCGATGTCCTGAGGGGTGATAGGTGTTATTGGGGGTTCATGAAGTGGATAATATCCTATGTAAAGTTATCTGGGGTAGATACTGTACGTGTATATATATCATATATCCTATGTAATTATTCATAAAGTGGATGGTGCTTATACTATCTTATACTTGGTGAGTCAGGGCGATAGACAGAGATATTCACAAACGAATTTACAAGGTGGTGCGCTCGTTTACGATAGCTAAGTTGGCGCAAAGAACTCCACGAACTAACCTTGATGGGGTTTGTAAACCGATATAAAACAACTGGGGCGCCTCATCGTGTAGAGGTGGAGGATGTAGACGAAACTCATATAATGACATAATAATTGATATAGATGGTAATTCATGATATGTGGGGTAGTAATAGTTTTGGGGGATGTTGGGGCGATGATGCTGGTGGTGATGATGATGATGATGACTGATGCACCAGCCAGGTCATCATTGGGATTATGGGGATTTAAGTTATAGATGTAGTGATGCAATGAAGTTGGTGGACGGGATGATTGTTACAAGTTATAACGGGTATCAACTGGTGATATTAAGAATGATTTCATTTGGTAAACCCACATATTGGGTTGCTGGGAAGTTCCCCTACAACTGCGACCAATGCTATCAAAGATATTCAATGGTTTTATATGGTTATATAATAACTTACTCTGTTGGCAATATTTTACCTTTTAAACATGTGGCATCTTGGTGTGTCTGTGATTTAGGATGGTTGAAGCTTGGGGAGGCGGAAATTCATTCACCAAAACTTGAGAGTATGATTGCAGCCAGTGGCTGTCAAGAAAAAAATGTCAAATTCATAGACCCAAAGTGGGATGACAAACACTGGTAATTACCTTCTGTGATGGCTGATGGTTGAGTGCCATCATTGACGTATTTCTTGTTTTGACGTCGTCAAAATTCCTGACAAAGAAATCACACTTTTTGGTTCAAACGATGATCGGAAACACTACTCACCAACCTCAATTTCCTCAAATTCTGTACCATTGGATCTGGTTTTAAAAGCCCACCAAACTGTGCGTTGTTGGGCATATTTGACTGCTATTGGATTTACTATTTGATTTACCAGTTGCACATAAATACGGTATGATCATATTTGAGAAGCAAAACAAACCGATTTCCACACAAACACAAACTAATTTCTGACCACGTTTCCGCATGAAATACTGTCCCATTTATAAATGTGTTACCTATCAACAATGGCGATTTTCCATTATTATGTTACATTGCAAGAGGGCAAGTATATCAGAAACAACTATATTTTACAAAAGACATATCCCAAAAAATCGTTTTTACAAAAACATCACCACAAAACAGCCAACCCAACTATAGTCAACTATAACTAATGATTCACCAGGTTTCACCGCCATTCTCCGCCTTGCCCCAGGTCACCACGCCGCTGTCGCCGCCGCACCACAGCGCGAAGGCCGTCGCCGTGGCCGCCAGCGACGGCGTCTGCGCCACGGCAGCGACGGTAGCGCCGTCGTGGAGGCCGGCGGCGGCCAACGAGAGGCGGGCGTCCAGGAAAGCACCTGGGGAAAAGGGGATGCTTGGTGAGATTTATATATGTGAAATATATAGATTAACAAAAAATATACATTAAACATATGTTCAGAAGTATGTCAACAAAAATATGTTGAGTAAAATATTAGCATAGATTACGCAACACCATTGGCATCTAAGCATGTAATGTATATATATGTATATATATATATGTATATGTATTTAGACTGTTATTGTATGTTCTTATGTATCATTAATATCATTATCATTATTGTTATCATTATCTGATAATCAAACATGGGAAATCTAATAGAACGGAGTGGGAAAATCATGGTGGATGTTCCATTGCTATGGGTGCCAAATGGTAAATTAATGGTTGTATGGGTGATAGTCATGATGATATATGGTATATAAATGATATATATATATATGGTTGTATGCTATATATGGTATTGTCATGGTGATTATTCATGATTGTCATTTATGATTTGATATATAAAAGGGACAATTATGGCGTTTATGGCAGGGGGAATATTTTGCAATAACCCTATGAAATAATAAGCCACTGAAAGTATGGCATATCACCGGTTTATTGCTATTTTTCTTCTTTTTACATGTTATCAACTACTAGTACTTTTGAGATGTAAGTAGACACAAACCCTTGAACAGTATGTGCATACATATATATATATATACACACACATTTCCCAGCCATAACTTGGTCTATTTTGTTTATTTTGTTCCACCATTCAACTGTAAAATGCTCTAGATGTACCTACCATAAATCCGACTTGGGGACGTGTACTGCAAAGTGTGGTTCACTTGCTTATGTAGATTAAGAAGTTGCTGAACTGCTGAGTGGAACATCATGGAATTCAATATAAACCACGATTTTGTACCCAGTTGTAACGCGAATACCACAAACGTCAACGAAACCCATGGCCGAGTCGGTTTTCGACTAATCCAACAAGTTGGCGGTGTCCATAGCCATGGGGCTACCCCAATGGCTGGATGGTTTATAAGGGAAAACTCCTATTAGAATGGATGATTTAGGGGTAACCCCATTTATGGAACCCCCCATATTCTGACCCTGATATGAACAATCTGAATTCCCATGTGGCTTGGTACTTGGTAGAATGAACATGAACACTTACATACTAGACCAGGGTCTCGGAGATGATTTGATGGGGCGAGGTGAAGAGAGTGAAGAGCTTAGGAAAGTGGCGTGCTATCAGGCTGTGATGAAATCAACCCGGAGACGGAGACTCCCAACAAAAAAACAGGGACGATTTTGAGTAACAACAAACATTAGGGTTGAAGGTGAACAAAACTATAGAAGCAAACATTTTGAGAACACAAAAACTAAAAATAGAAAATAGTAGCCGTAGCCAATACTGAGCAGAATGTGTTTGTGTTGCCTGCAGTAGAGGCCAACAAATGACTTGTCTCTCAATCCGCATGCTGTGTGATGTGATGTGATGTGTATTTAGCATGTCTTAACCAGAGAAATCCGTGGATATTTTGGAATCATCTTGGTATCTGCTGGTTTGCAGTCCTCCGCCCCAGCGCTTAGCAAAGGCTAGGCCACCGTCTGTACTCAACAGCCTCCCGTTGTTGCAATCAAGTGGGTTTGCCGTGGCCAAAAAAACCTCTAATCCCATCCCTCCAATATTGCACACCATATCTGGTTGGTGGTATACCTACCCATCTGAAAAATATTAAAGTCAGTTGGGATGGTGAAATTCCCAATATATGAAAAATAAAAAATGTTCCAAACCACCAACCAGGACATCAATGGGGATATTAATAAAGGTTTATAACTTACTTATAACACTTATAACTAAGCAACTAGGGATACGAACTGGATATAACTGGAACTAATGAGATGATGAGAGTCCTGCCCCTCTGCCCATTGGATGGTTTCATCCAACATCTCTGTTGCAAATCTCAACAGAAAACAAACCCAGTCATACCCAAAAAAAGTGAATAAAAAACATTGTGTTTCATAAATATGAAAAGCAATCAACCAAGACCACCAAGTAATCACTAGACCAGGGATTCATACAAAAACAACATCTCACAACTAGAGACCCTCCCGTAAACGAATAAAAGTGTGGAACGCCTACCAATAGACCATTCTCCGAACACGTTTGTTTATGGATTTCCCACATCTTTTTAGAGCAGTTTACCCCAGGGTAAAAGCCATTAGATCACCATTGTTGTTGCTTGAATCCCATTCAATCCCATTAAATCATTCTATGACTCTTATAACTCCCACTAAAATCCCATGTAAATCCTATTTCCATCCCATTAAATCCACCATGAACCTCCATGAAATCACCATTTTCCCGGGGATCGCCTTAAAAAGCTCTTCTTCAGCTGCTGCTGCGCCAGTGCCTTCAGTTCCCGCACCGTCGCGTCGGGTTCCACAAACACCGCAACGCCAGAGCCGCTGGGGAGCGAGACGTGGAGGCACCACATGACACCTATAATATCTATATGCCACACTTAGATGCCACATTTTAGCATTATCTATCTGTATGTACACTAAAACGTGGGATGCACACTAAATATATAAATATGTATTTCTATGTATTGTGTATTATATATATAACATATATATATACATTGTGTTTTATCTATATAGCATCTGTATATATAAATATATAAAATTATATAAACATATTTATCTATATTAGTTACATATGCACATCAACATATGTATAGTGTATATTGTATATGTCAATATGTAGGTATAGGTCATGGGAGCTCGGAAATCCCCATGGAGGAGTTGGGTTTCACTGGGAATTCATCCGAGCGGAGCATTTGAAACAAAACAGGAAAATGATGGTTTATAGCTAGGCAAATCATCTGTACGTCGAAAATGTGGACCTAGAAATATGGAGGATTTTGAATTGTCAGCTTTGATTACCAAAAACATGACCCAACTGTTGTCGAATTTATCTCCAATAAATACTTTATTAATGTCTTTTTTGATCCTTTTTGCACACTGTTCAACCAACTGAAAATAAGGCATGTATATTGATGGATACATATAATATATTACATAGATTCTGTACAGATGTGTTTTTTTTGAAACCAGCCAAAGAAACCTTCTGCACCTGCAGAACCGCAGTGAGCGTTCAAACAGCTGCGCCAATTTCAAAGGTATCGTTGGAAATGGGACCTGTGTGGATACCTGCCACATTACTCCATGTCTATCCATTTCTAGCAACTACTGCAAACAATCAATCCAGCAATCAGGGAGGTTTATGCAAATACGGGCACAGAAGGCGTGCAAGACACGCAACATCATTCCTTTATGCTGGTTGGTTAAGAGCGGTTTTTCCAGTGCATAGATGATGATATGCCCAATGTATTCGATAGTATAAACCCCAAAGCAATGAACAACTAACATTTTCTGATGGTTGAAAACCCTTGAAATCAATGTACATGGTGATTCAATATTGCTAAACCACCTTTTTCGGTGGTTAAAACAAACATTTCGATCCATTTCGAACGGCTTAAATCGCAATGTTTGGATGGTTCAAGCACCATTTCGAATGATTAAAACCTCCAATGGAGGGAATGAGGGAATGATCCACAATAACTAGTCATAATCATCACATTCCCACATTCCCATCCATTCCCTACTAAGCACCAGTAAGCCATTTCCAGTGGTTCAATCACCACATCGATGTTTTTCGGCGACGCACCTCGTCCACAATGACATGCGACGCACCCAGGCGTGAGATGCGAGGAAGCAGAGACCCCACTGTACCTCGAGAGATGTCGAGGGCTTGGAATATCTTGGAAAATGCCATGGATATCATATCTATGGAATATCCATCGGAATATCTATAAGTATCTACTTGTATACCTATATCCTACATATATAGTTATGGAATATCTTGGAATGTGATTTTACTTAAACCTATGGATAATTGATTTATATATATATATATACATATACCTTACAAATCCAAAACCGAAGTTTTTCTAGGGTTTGCTCAAATACCCGGGGTTTACACACACACAAAACCCGAGGTTTTCCAAAACCTTATAATTTTTGAAGTTTGATTGTTGTTTTTCCGCATTTTTTCTGGCAAAACTCACCGTTTTTGTATGTCAGACACAGTTGGCCATGAGTTGGCTGGCACAACCACGCTTGCTACCCCATCCAAATTCCAAATGGTGATGTGTTTTCGGCCGATGCCCCTTCACAAATCACGTTCAAACCGTTGAAAATCCAGTGAAATCTCAACCATCTAAACCCGTACAAAAGTACGGGTTAGTACGGGTTTAGTACAGAGTCAGTACGGGTTTGAAAAACCCGAGGTTTTTGTACAGTACAGTGATGCTGGCTGGATCATTTACAGGATGAGGTACTGAACTCCCCGGTGACACCTGCGTCCAGGTTGACATGCACAGTCCAGGTCGAGGGGGCTGTGCATGCAGTACCTTGATTTTGATTCCTTGTAGGACATCTTTGCGTAATTGCTGCCTGGTACGGCATCTTGCTGGATATACCCTCCTTAGTATTTATTGGTTCGGTATGCGGTACCGTACCGAGCCGCTGCGGCATGGCATTGCCAGGTGGATCATGATAGATTCTCTGCCCGCTTCATTGCGTTCAAGACCTAGGGTTTTCCCAGAAATACTACGGGTTAGTACGGGCTTACTGCAGGTTTAGTACGGGTTGAGTACGGGTTTGGAGCAAACCCGAACTTTTCCCCATCAAAAACAAATAAATTAAGATAACAATTGGTATATAACTATCTCCTGAACTTGAATGGTAATGGCTTGTATGGGCTTGGTTACTGTATATGGTTCAATGATCACCCCATTAGTTGTCTCCAATCCAAAAAACAAATCATGTTGATATATCGTGCTACATTCCAGGGAGGAAACCCACAAAAGGCTACACAAATGGAACCCGAACATTATCAGAAGTGGTTTGCCGAGGCGTGAGCAGAGGGTAAGGGAGAAACCCGAGGGTTTCTGACTAAACCCGAGGTTTTCCATGAATTCCTGGAATACCCAAGGTTTATATGTAAATCCTAAGAAAAGTCAGGGTTAAGGTTTACTAGGTATGTATATATATATTATATATTATCATTATATTTTATATATTTATGTACTATGATTATATATATATATATGTGTATAGAGAGAAATACGATGAAATAGTCCGTAAAACATCCCGTCCATGCCCGTCCCAAATGATGGTTGTGGCCATGGCGACAACAAAATGGGAAACCTCTGGACCCACTTGATATCAAGTATTGAATCACCCAAAAATAAAATAAATTGGAACAGTAATTTACCATGATTTTGGTAGGGCTTCATGTTTTTTTTGTAATTCTTTTTGGGGTGGATATGTCGTATATTTACCTATCACATGACACAGGTCGGTCATTTGAGGCAGTTCCCGGGTCTGATGTTCACCACTACTTGTGCCTGAAACGCCATAGCAAATGGCATCGTTTATACACCTGCACTCTCATTGCTAGTGCCAAGCGCGATCATCTTAGCCAATACAGTAGTTTTTTCCCAGTTTCAATACAGCCTATAAGCAAAGGCAACAGAAACCTTTTTCAACCCCCTAATGCGGCTTGGTTTGTAGCTCTTCCAGCACCAGTTCTGATTCATTCTCAATGAAACATTATGAAGCCGGGTAAACTTCTCACAACACTCATTGAACACAAAACATCATTGAACCTCATCCAAAGAAAACAAATTCCCATCAAATCACCATCTGGTCATGGCAATAAAACAAACCCCATGATTTCCCCAGCTATAAACCTCCATTTAGTTTTGGGAAATTCCAGCTAGCTGCAATTTTGATTGTTGCTTAGTATATCCCATTGTATTTTCAGATTTCCACATTCAATCCCCATTAAAATCCCATTAAAACCCCCATCATTTCCCATCATTTCTCATGATTTTCATAGCCATTCATTACCACTAATAAACAGTCATAACCAATGATCAGCATTCATCACCATTTAATGCAATTAATCATCATTACCAAAACCCGATATATGGAGGTCTCCTAAAATGGGGAGTACACCTAAATCATATGTTTTGAAAATCCACCATAAACCATCCGTTTGGGATACCCCCATTGTAGGAAACCCCTATGCCCTATATGTTAATCCATACAGTAGTATAAGCCATTGTTATGAATTAGCCATCAACCCCATAAAAATCATTGCTATTACTGTATTTCCAGTGGTTTCCCCATGGTTTTCCCATGATTTTGATGCAACTCGCCACTCGCCACTCGCCACGGCAATCAATGGGCCGCCAAGATGCAAAAACAAATGGAGCCCCAAGGCCTGGCGGATGGGGCATGAGAATCTACCATCTAACTTGACCCTAAATACGGTCATTAATATATATATATATGTTATATATATATTTAAATATCTATTTTTTTTTAAAAAAAAAACTTTACATTTTAAACATATATTTCATATGTTGGAATATAATAAATGTAACACATTATATATCATTTGTGTATATATTATGTTATATTTAAATTGTACTATATTGTATTATATTGTATCAAATTAAGTTGTATTATGATACATTAAACTAAATTACATCATATGCAATCATGCTATATTATATTGTACTGAATTATATTACATAAATTTGCATTATTCTGGAGAGCGTCTCGCTGTGAGAGCATCATTTTCACAGTGTTTTCTGTTGTTTTTTGAACATGTTCACTATTATATATGTATTTATGTGTGTATATATATATGATATGCAGATAAACAAAGACATATTTCACATAGCCCATTCAATTGTGGACAAATATCCGCTATTGTTGTGTTCTTAATTTCAGAAATCCAACCTCAATCCGATTTTGGGTGCTCACATCCCCATGTTTAGAAACTGGTTACAATATCCATTGTTAGCCCGTTAGTCCTATCAAAAGGGAAGGCCTCCGGTTGTAAGTTGGTTGGCAAACCCATCCAGCTCTAGCATCTACTATCCAACGTGGAATTAGATGGAAATCTGTCAGGTCATAAATCAAACATACTTCCCCATGTGTTGCTGTTAAACAGCAATATTCATTGGTTATTCCACCATGTCCATCCCTATTTTCAGGCTTTCAGGGTGACAAAGCTCTCCATTGTCGCCTGGGCGGTTTCTCTTCCCAGCGAACCACCTCAGAGATGATCGTTTTTTTCAGTGGAAACCCACCGAAATAAGGTTGGTTGGTTGCATTGGCATTGCATCATGTCATTTGGAAAAAAACAATACTTAACACACACAACAAAACTGGTTGGTTTTAGGCAGTCTTGTTTTTAAAATGATTTGATATGGGTCCTGCTCTGTTTTTTGGGGCCCATCTGGGGAGAAATGTTGTTCAAGGAGGCCATCGATCGTGCACTCATGATGCGACACTGCTAGCCACATCATACATCCAGTCTGGTTGACGAATCTGGTATGTTGGTTGTGGAATGTACCCATAAATGTTTTAGATGAACAAATCCACCATTTGAATATGTAGATTTCCTCTTCGACAAAGAACAAACGTATTGATTGTTCGACATCGAATCCCTAGTGATGTAGGGCCTAGCGTTACAAATTCCGAACTTCAGGATGTCTTAGATGTTAAAAAAAACATTGAGTGACCCCCTCGTGTTTTTGTTTGGAAAAATTGTCAACGAAAACATAATCCCAGTGACGCGAAATGCTGACCGCAGTTTTTTCAAAGCACTGATGAAGGAAATTTATACAAATTTATTATATATTTGAAACAAATGATAAACATAAAATGTTTCACACTATTTCACCCTACCAATCATCATTTAGGATGACCTCGCTGTGAGATCAGTGGATGAATGGCCCAATAAACCAATGGTTAGTAGGAGCCTGACGCGCCCATGTAAGTGGATTTGTTTCACCCTTATATAAATGATAAATCTAAGGGGGGAAAACTAGGGTGGATTACTGAGGTTAGGGGAACTGATGCTGCGATGATAACAAGTTCCTTTCACTTTTCAACTCTGTTAGCCTCAAGTTCCGATGATCAAATGATATAGAAATTACATGAAATTAGTTCAAATTACATGCGTTTCTCCAATGACGGTGGAACAACGTAAAATAATGCACGAGGACGCATGGTCCAAAAGAACAAACATGAATCAAGCAATTGCAGTTGGTACAACTGTATTTTTTTCTGTGATTGTTGATTTGGTGCCATTTGTGGGGCGACATCAACATATTCAACCATATGCCTCCTTGTGGACTGCTGGAAAAACACATCCAAAATAATCTAAAATAATTAATCAAAAAATCCCAACCAAAAATAAACATATAAAACCCGCCAATGCCGGCTCAAGGCGCGTGTCCCGTAGATCCATGGCCATCTGACCGTTCGCCGCGTTCCCAAGCGACCCTGCTGGCACACGAGATGTGCATAGAGGCCATGGTGGCCATGGCGACCACGGTATTATATGTAGTGAGCTTGCATGAAAAAGAAGATTTCCACATCCATGGGAACATAAACATTTGTCCCTATCAAAAAACTTTAGGCCGGATACATAGACATTGGTTCTCAATATATAGATGCGCAAAACACATTGCGGACACGATGCAAATCACATTCTGTCGGACAATGGGCAACCAATTCAATTAATTCATCACCATCAAGTATAGTAAGCAGAAAAAACAATAGTAATCAAGAACAGATAATGGTAAATACAAATAATCCATGGCGACCCATGGTGAATCATGGCGCTTAAATACAAAGGTAACCAGCTTTGAATGAAAACATTCAAACATGTTTGTTTTTTCCCCTGCAGCAGGTGTTTTATTTTGGGAGATGTGTGTATGATTGTGTATGCTTACCATACATGACAAATTTTGGTCATGGTCATTTCAGACTTTGATCAAGGCTAAGATCGTGATTGTGATGCTAAGGGGGGTGACATCATGATATTCACGTAGACACGCGCATAGGCGCACGTATTCTATGTTCATACAAGCTCATAAGTATAAGCATATCTATGCGTCTATATCAGAAAAGAGGGGGAGAGAGAATGAGAGAGAGAGAGAGAGTGAGATTGATTCAAGTGTTTGGTGCGAGCTCCCACGACAGCTTCAAATTAAAGAAGTTGGGTGGCCCAGTTTCTGGCTTAAAGGGAGACAACAAATCAGGAACAGCATGACAACCAGTATCATCATCATCTGTCCTGATTCTCATGCTCATCAGGAACAATGTTTGCGTTGTTATCTTCTCGCCTTTCTTGTCTTGGCGGCCTGCCCCCAACGATGTTGTTTTTGTATGTATGCTGCACGGGTGGTTTTGCATGCTAGAGATCTACAAGCATGCCTGGCAAATAACTTGCCCTACGAATTGCGCCACAGCCTGCATTTTTTTAAGTTCATGTAAAAGATCTTGAATGCGTCGCGGAATCACCGTCGCGCCCACATGGTTGTGGTAGCTAGACTATGGTCATTAACCCGCTTCTCTATGGGATATCCGCAGCATAGGCAATTCTCCAGTTCCCACGGTGGGTTTCACCCTCGGCCAAGTCACCACTTGACTCATATGTTTGCCTCACCTTTACCCTTGGTCTGCTGAAGGCATGTTGCAAGACTCAGCAAGAGACAAAACAACAACTGATTAGTTTTGATTATTGGGCTTTAATTCTTAAATATAATATAATCACTTTTCCCTACATTCTAAAGCCCCTGAACCCAAACAGTGATTAGATCCGGTATTACGCCAGGACTTTGGGAAGATGTTCACAGATGGGAGGCTGGAGAAGGAGTCTACCCGTCCTCAAAGTGCAAGATTGGGTTCGATATAAGTGAGGAAAACGTTTTCAGGAAAAGGGGGGGAACTTGGTACCAGTACGCCATAATTTTCCGTTTTGGATTGGTGGTTTTCTCTCTGCCAACTGGCCACTGCTCAAGTTGCTCTGCTGTTTCGTAGTTGTTTTCCCCAAAATGAGAAGCTATTTCCAATAGTATCCAATAGTTGGGATGCAACAGGCTGATTCCGTGGTGGGGCCTAGCTGTCAGTTAGTATGATGCTCTTAGCCCTCAGACCTTCGTATTCCTAGCTGGTCCATTGAGTTTAATCCCAAGGGTCAAACAAATGTAAAAGTCCATTGGGATCTTCCGACATAGATTGGGAAACAACAGTGAGGTTACACACCGTATCACACCGTGCTCGGTGCGGTTCCTGCGGTTTCAGGATGCTTGGCAGATCTCTTACCCACTGATTCCCACAATTCCACGTGACTTAAATCCCAAACCTGATGCAAAACCCTCCAGTAATTTCACCTGAGCTGGAAAATTACCCAAATCTGTGGATCATTATATATCTCAATTGTCCATAAAACTGTTGTTTTACAAAAAGCTAGCGATGTTGAATTACCAAATGGGGGCCTTGGTGATCCATTTTTAGCCCGTTGAACCTACAGTAACCGTTTTTTCTTTAAATATGATGACCAGTCTTGTCAGTTAAGTCCCAGCTTTGTTGAATCTGTTTTTTCATCTCTCTGGTACTGGCTTCGCCAAACATCACGTTTTGCTGAAACAATCTGGTTCATTGCACATGTTCCACATGGTCTTGGGGAAACCTCTGCCTTGGTCCTTTGGTTTGCAAAGCCGGTGCCGCCTTTGTGGTTTCCTGGCGGATTCCTCCATGTTCTTGGTCGAATTTACTACCACTTTGGCTTGAGTTCAATATGTGGTGTCCCACTATATGCCTCCTGTCGTATCTTATACAAAAATCCCGTCCGAATCAGCAAAAGGCACGACGAAATAATCAAAAACTGGAACAATGCACAACCCCCAAATCACCATCCACTGTCAGGGATGTTGGGCATAGCATATGGCAGTGTGTCAAAACCTGGTACCCCTGTAGTTCACATCAAAATAGCTGGTAAATGGATGTTCATCCCCCTAAAAACGTATCTATAGGTATTGACCCATACCCATATCAAGAAATTTAGAGCCACGTCCTCCCAAATGACAAGTACCTGCTCTGGATATTGTAGCCATTAGGCCGTCCCACAGCTCGTACTGGTAACCCTGGTGACCGTGTTCTACGTTGCTTCATTCACCCTGTTAGCTAACTTCGTGCCATAAACCCGGTGAACTTAAAGTTTATAAATCAACTGAGCTATCATCATAAGTGATTATAGAACAACATGTTTGTGAGGTTGTGGTTTACTTAACCAGTTTTCTTACATAAATCAACAGCTCAATCTATTTTAGATGTATCACCATTCACTTTCCCAGTTAGATCCTAATGTGTCACCAATAAAATATTACCCTCTGGTTATTTAACGTAGCTATAGAACATCACCATGTTGAATAGGTAAATCATCAAAAAAACATCTATAAATGGGTTATTTTCCATGCCTATGTAAAATCATCAGAGGCTAGTTCCATCAATTAGGTCCCAAAAATCTTACTTGTGCTCAACGTAGAGAATGATCATGAATGATCCACTGGCTAAGTATCAATACCCTCTGGTAAACAAACATAACTATGGAAAATCACCATTTTTAATGGGTAAATCCACTATTTCTATGGCCATTTTCAGTAGCTTTTTGTATGTTTACCAGAGGGTAATCCCAGCAACCCCCAGCAACACATCCAGAAACCCTACGTAAAACGCACCGACACCCTGCGGGCCTGGACGCCAAAGAGACGGCTGCCAAGCGACGTGGCTGGGTGCAGACCACGTGCACCTGACGCCCACAGCCTGGATCAAATGATGAAAAAAAAAAACGGTCATTATATATGGGATATCTATGGAGCTATAATATTTATGTAGTGAATATATGAGATATATGTTTTAACTATGGGATATATGAACATAATTATATATATATATATAATAGATATACATATGGGATGTATATGGAATGTACACGGGATAATCAACGGAGAATGTATCTACTAATTTGAATCTATCTATGATTTTACCTATTTAACCTATTTACCTACTATTTTATCTATGAATATATTTTATACCATATGTATCTATGCATTTAACTCTGGTTTAATATACCTATGGTATTTATTTCTATCCGAGGGGTCATATTTAAATGGGATCATCCCTATGGGATGATATATAGAGATTATGAA